ACAGGCTGCTCCTGTTCCTAATCCCTCTCCCCAAGGTAGGAGGCACTGAAGTGGGGGCCAGCAGTGGTCAGCCCACTTGCCAACTGCCTTAAAAAGGAAGAGCAGGGATGCCACGATGAAGGAGTGGAACACAAAGGGAAGTGCCATCATGAGAAATCAGTGAGGGATCTGTGAAGAGGGAGGCCTGGGGGGCCCAGAAGCATGAAGTCTGGGAGAGCAACATCTCCCGTGAGGGAACTAACAACAGTGGAGCCAGGTTCTAAGTCAGTATCTAGGCCAGACTGGGAACCTGAGCCACCCCAGAGACCAAAAACCCAGCCAGAGCTTGGGCCAGAAAAGACACTCACAACCCAGCCAGGATCTAAGACTCAGCAGGAATACAGTATTCAACAGGAGCCTGCTTCACAGCAAAGACCCCTCACCCAGCAGGAGCCCTTTGCCCAACATGAAGCTGAATTCCAGCAGGAAACTAGAGCCCAACAAAAATCTTGTTTGCAGCAGGAGCCTGCACCACAGCAATCACCTTCCACCCAAAAGGTGCCCTTCACTCAACAGGAAGCTGCCTCACAGTGGGGAGGAAAAGAATCTACAACCCAACAGGAACCAGAATTGAAAGTAGGACATGGAGCCCAGCCAGAACCTGGGTCAGTAAAGCCACCTCTAGCTCAACTGGCAGCTGAATCAACGTCTACGGTTCTGCCCAGACCTGGACCCAAACAGGAACCTCCTGCCCAGGTTGAATCTACATCCCAAGAGAGATCTGAACATGAGCCAGACCCTACCACCCAGCAAACCTCTCTAGCACAGGGAGCCAAATCCCAGCAGGGATCTTTGACTGAGTGGGGATCTCTAGAAAAACTGCAAGAACAATCCCTACAGCGATCGGCTGCAGAATGGAAGACATCTTTTGAGTGGGCCACAGATTCCGACTCAGAATCAGATCTGGGGTCTCGGTCAGAGATAGATTCTCCCGCGATGAAGGAAGAAACTGTGGCCCAGGGAAGGAAGCTGCACTTCAAAAAGAAACCTGGATATGAAGTGATATCAGGATGTAACGGGACACCCCCAAATGGGAAGAGAACCAAGAGCCAGAATTACAGCTACTACCACGACACAGGTGAGTTTGAGCCTGGAGGACCTGCAGCCTTCCAGGGACAGTCACTCATTCATTCAAGAAATACTAAGGAAAAAAAAAAAAATACTAAGAACCTACCGTATGTCAGGTTAGCTCAGGTAATCCTTCAACAACCCTGTGACATAAAGGTTGTTGTTAGTTACCTTCGAGTCAATTCTGACTCATGGCGACCCCATGTGTTACAGAGTAGAACTGCTTCATAGGGTTTTCTTCTTAGGCTCTAGGTCTACAGTCTTGGCTGTAATCTTTATATGGAAGCAGATCACCAGGCCTTTCTTCTGTGGTGTCACTGGGTGGGTTCAAACCACCAACCTTTAGGTTAGCAGCAAAACGCAAACCCTTTGCACCAGCTAGGAACCTAAAGATTAATGTCACCATTTTATAGGGAAAGTAGTTGAGGCATAAAAAAGTAAAAGATCTCGCACAAGGCCATGCAGTTAGCAAGTGGCAAAGCCAAGATCTGAAGCCAAACCCATTGCCATTGAGTAGATTCCAACTCATAGCAACCCTGTAGGACAGAGTAGAACTGCCCCATAGGGATTCCAAGGCTGTAAATCTTTATGGAAGCAGACTGCCACATCTTTCTCCCCCAGAGTGGCTAGTGGGTTTGAACCACCAGTCTTTTGGTTAGCAGCTGAGTGCTTAACCACTAAGCCACCACAGCTCCTTGACCTGAAGCCAGGGTCTGACCTTTTCCCTTGCACCAAGCAGCTTCCTACTGAGGATCTGCAGGAAATCCAATAGAGGTGGGAAAGAGCTCTGGGCTAGGGGCCAGGGAACTGGGAGAGAGGTATCCATCCAAAACTTACCGAGCCCCAGCTCTGTGGCAGACACTGTCCCCCGGGCACCAGCAACATGCTGCATGTGGTCCTTCCCCACGTGGAGTTTCCATCCAAGTGGGGCGGAAAATCAGAGGCATTAACGATCTCGGAGTGCACCAGATCTGTCCTCTGGTAGGGACACTTGCCCTCCTGCCTGGTCGCCTCCACAAGGGAGCCTTGGAGGCAGCGTTCTCAGCAAGGAGGCTGGAAGAGGGGGTGTGAGGTCCGCCCACGTCACAGGCAAGGTCAGGGCCTGATGGCTGGAAAGTTGAGGAGAGCGGTATCAGCCGGCGATGAGCCCTCTTAGCTCTCTGCTAGCGCTCCCTCACGTCCTCTGACCCTTCTGGGGCTGCAGTGAAGCAGGCAATGGTGCCCTGGGGTGCAAGCTCCAGCTCGGCGGTGCTCCCGTCGCGCTCCTCCTCTCTAGGCTCAAAACCCCCGTCACGGGGGGAGGGAGGGCAATAGCTTTGCCCGTGGAATGAGTTTACTTGTGGAAACGTCCTGAGGGGAGGAAAAAAAAAAATGAGATCCCATCCAGATAGTGAGGTGCTTGTAAAGCCAGTCAGTCCGAAGGGCGGGTAATGGTGGTCTCTCAGATCAGAGGCTTGTCCTTCCCTCAAGGGCTGGGCCACTCTCTCAGAGCTCAGGCCGTTCCAGAGCGGTTGTATGTTTTGGGAGGGCGGGCAGGGGGATGAAATGAAGAGAGGAAGGCTCGAGGTCTGCTTTTTCCGTGCTGAGGGTGAAGAATTGTTTCTCTAGGCCCCCAGAGCCTAATCTCGAAGGGCTGCCCTCCCCATGGCTCGGCGACCGACAACTGTCTCTCCTCAGGCGTCCTAGAGGTGGTTGGTTGTGTGCGCATGCGCGAGCCTCGCGCCGCCTCGGTTTCCCGCCTTTTCCCAAGCACGCGCCGCTCCCTCTACTTCATTCCTCTCTGTTGGCGGGCCCGCAGTTTGGAGCTTGTGCGCAGACGCCAAACGTTCTCCTTCTCCCTCCCCCTTTCATTCTGGGGGGTGCGGGGTGGGGGGTAGGGAGTGAGCAGAGAAACAGAAGAACCCCAAGACAGAGAGCAATAGGAGAAATAAGAGGCCTAGGGCGGGGAGAAGGCGGGACTTTCTTCTCCAACGGCGCACAGGCCCAGCCACGCCTCCAGTGCTGCTGCCCCGCCCGGACTTTGAAGTGTCAGAGGATCTGGTCCGACCCCCACCACTACCCCCGCCCCCCAGGCGGAGGCCCAACGGCGCCCCATTCTCCCCATCTGGCGGGCGGGCCAGCTTGCGTTCTAGGGGATCCCTACGTGGGAAGGTGAGTGGGAAGGCGAAGCTGAGCGCCAGCACATGACAAGATCGGGGCTTCCCTGTCGAGGTGATCCCAGAGGGAATCCCCACAAGTCCTGCCCGAAGGACGCTTTTTGCCGCCTCCAAGGTTGCATTTTTCTTGGCCCGCGGGCCCTTTAATGGGGCGGGGCCAGACCTTGGGTTCTACGGTTGGGGGCGGGGCCTGGCAGTGGAGTGAGGCCAGGATTGCTCACTGGGCGGGACCCAGAGAGGAGCAAGCCCTGGATTGGGTGGTGCGGGAACCCGGCGGTGGTGTGTGGTAAGAACTGGCCTTCGGGGCGGGGCCTGGCGGCTGGAATTGGCCCCAGAGCTGGGACCGCGGGAACTGCGGAGAATTGATGGAGTCGCCCAGGGAAACGGGGCCTGCCGGGGCCGCTGGCGCCCCGGCCTCAAAGGAGGGCCAGGAGGGGGCCGGAATCCGCAGCCGGCGGCGATGGCGCAAAGGCAAGGCTAGAGGTGAGCGCGCGGGGCCCAGCAGCGTCCGGGAAGGAACCTTGCACATCCTGCGGGAAGCTGGGGACTGAGTGGACTGACCTACTGCCACAAGAAGGGGGCGGGAACGCGTGGACTGGCCCATTGCCGCCCTACGGGGGGCGATGATCCA